GACTCCTGGTTTCTGCTCGGGTCACGGCCTGGGGTCGCGGGACTGAGCGCCGGATCCATCAGGCTGGTGCACAGCGTGGGGCCTGCTAGGCACTCACTCTCCCTCTCCGCGAGCCCCTACCCCACTCCCAGGCACATGCACTCGCTCTCAAATAAATAAGCCTTTTTAAAAGTGCATGTAAGGGAAAGGAGGGAACTGAGTGGGGAAAATGAGAGGAGACAAGTCATGAGAGACTCCTGACTCTGGGAAACAAAGGGTTGTGGAAGGGGAATTGGGTCGGGGGATGGGGTCACTGGGTGACGGGCACCTGACAGGATGAGCACCGGGTGTTATGATATATGTTGGCAAATTCAATTTAGATTAAAAATAATGCATATTCACTGGTTCATCACTTTGAATGACAGTATGATAAAAAAAATCAAGTCATAGTTATTCGATAAAATTATTTAATTTTTAGACAATAATGAAAAATATATCTTTGAAACAGTTAGTTTAGGGGAGAACAGGAAATTACTAAATTTAGGATCAATATTAATGATACCTGATGGGCACTGAGGTGGGCACTTGACGGGATGAGCACTGGGTGTTATTCTATATGTTAGCAAATTGAACACCAATATAAAATAAATTTATTTAAAAAATTAATGATACCGAATCTATGGTAGAGAAAATTAATATAGTAAAAAAAAAGAAAATTAATATATATCTATAGTTTAATAATGTTCACGAATTTAATCAATTAATTGGATTTTGGCAGGGGCAATTGGAAGGGAGACAGTTTTTGTCGGTAAGGGAAAATTTTAAGCCGCATATTTTAATCATCATAAATGGCTAGGGATTTCAATATTTTAATAGATTCATTTAGCTCTAAATGTCTCCCAACACGTTATAAATCCTCCAGAGTCCCCGCTTTTATAATATTGCCTTCGAACATATTCATTGTCTCTCTCCGGGAGAAGTTCACTATTGCCATTCCATTAGCCTGCTTTTTATTTATTTCAAAGATGAAAATGAGTACCTTCCCTTTTCATTCACGACAATTGAGTCTTGATTTTTTTAATCAAACTCTGATGGTAATTATCACGCATTAAAATGCATTCTTGGGATCCCTGGGTGGCTCAGTGGTTAAGCATCTGCCTTTGACCCAGGGCGTGACCCCGGGGTCCCGGGATCGAATTCTGCATGGGGCTCCCTGCGTGGGGCCTGCTTCTCCCTCTGCCTGTGTCTCTCCCTCTCTCTGTGTGTCTCTCATGAATAAATAAATAAAATCTTACACAAATAAATAAAATAATAAAATAAAATAAAATAAAATATAAAATAAAATAAAATAAAATAAAATAAAATAAAATAAAATAAATAAAATAAAATAAAATGCATTCTTTCCCCCTTCTTGTGCATTTTTCCTCTTTACAGCAGCCCTCATATTCTGACACCGGGGGTGGCATCTAGGCGTGCCCCCTTTAGGGACTCAGCTGCTCAGCAGACACTCAGCAGCGCAGGGCGATTTGAGCCATGGGGGGCAGGGGAGGGCAGCGCGGGATCTGCCAACCTCGCTTCTCCTTCTCGGTCTACACTTTCCTGAATCCTGATGGGTCCCCCCAGTGCAGAGCCCCCAAGACGAGGGCGTGTTAGCTCCGTTCAGCCTGCTGCCCCAGAGGGGCGCACACCCGACCTCCAGCAGGCCATACACCTGCAGCAAGACACGGTAATGGTCTGACCCTGAGAAACAAGGGGGGGAGGAGGATCTGCAGCAACCATTTACGCAAACAGCTCGGCCTCCCTGATCCCTAACCCCCCATCAGTAAGCGGGCAGCCGAGCACAGTCACTCCCAGGGCTGCGGTGCAGACTAGGTCGGATGGCGTAAGTGAAAATCCAGCATGAGTCATCAAGTGCCCAACAGATGCTGGGGGACATCGTGACTCATAGTTTTGGGTGTCAGGGCCATGGGGCAAATCCAGGCCGTGGGCGCCCCTAGGAATCACTGGTTACATGGCCAAGACCCGAAGGAGAGTGAGAGCTGCGTGTGTCAGCCCTTGGAGCCCAGGGCCCCCGTGTTGTGTGTGACCGCTGCTTGGGCACCAGGACACCAGGGGATATACAAAGAGTATAGCCTGGTGAAAACCCCACAACCAAGAGGAAAGCCAAGAAAGGAGCGTGAATAATGTGACCAGACAGGATCCAAGTTTGTCCCCAGCTTAGTTGCCTTTTATTCTTCAGTTGAGCGAGTTACATGTCTCCCTGTTGTACCCAAGGCCGTGCATGCACCTCGAGGTGTCCACAAAAGGCCCACGACACAGGGGTTCCTAACTGGGCCATATGGTGTATTCGGAATCCTGGGGAACGGACTGGCTCTGCAAACATTGGTTAAGCGAGATGAAGAATTCTTACAGTTTTGACTACAGCGATTTCAGAGACACGTACAAGCTTCGTTTGCCACAAAACTCACACGCACAAAAAATAATAATAATCGGTTAAAGAATATCTTTTATGCAAAATATACATTTTAGGATATAATTTGATTAATACTCTACTATATACTGACATTACTCCTTGATCATTTCATAAAAAAATACTCTCATCACCAGAATTTTATCTTCTGTAATATTTATATTGAGGTAACAACAAGACCCAAACCGTGAATGATGTTGGCCAGTTGTGTTTTTTTTTTTTTTAAGTCGTAATGAATTTCTGGCACTCCACGAATACGCGACTGCAAATAGCTTAGTTCTGGTAAGTAGGCACTGAAAACTTCACCACAAAGACAAGCTGATCACATAAGTGGCTTGTACAAAAAGAAATGACACAGTGGATGCTCGTGGATCTAAGGCTGGACAAGTCAGGGGAGTGGAGACACCTGTGGCTGCTGATGTCACGGCCACGTGACCCTGGGCACAGTCCCTGCAGCCCCGGGGCCTCCTCGGAGCTGCAGACGGTGGTCCGGGACTGGTCCCCCCACCTTGGCATGGGCCTGGGCCCTGCACGGTGGTCGTGCCCTTGGGTCCCTGCAACCTAGGCTTGGGCCTGGGCCCCGCACGCATGTGGGTGGTCGTGCCCTCAGGTCCCTGCCGCCTGGGTGTGAGCCTGAGCCCTGCACTGGTGTTAGCAGTCGTGCCCTCCACTCCCTGCAGCCTGGGAGTAGGTGTGGGCCCTGCACGCGTGTGGGCGGTTGTGCCCTCAGGTCCTCCGGCCTTGGTGTGTGTGTGGCCCTTGCACGGTGGTCATGCCCTCGGGTCCCTGCAGCCTGGCCTGCATGTGGGCCCTGCGTGGTGGTCGTGCCCTCGGGTCCCTGCGGCCTGACTGTGGGCCCGAAGCCCGGCCGTGCACGCGTGTTGGTGTTCACAGCTGTTCCTCGGCTCCTGGCCCGTGTGCAGCACACCGCGATGTCCGGGGGGGGTGGGCACCCACGGAGTCCCAGCTGTAGCTCCTGTCCAAGGTTTCCGCCCACAGCCAAGACCCGGGGGTCTCCCAGCGCACCCGAGGGCGTCAGGGCACCTTCAGCAGCAGAGGTGGGTCCTGGGTCCAGGTGACCCCCTGGCCGTTTCCCGGTAGTCAGAAGTCCACGGTAGATTCTGCACAGCAAGGCAGCCAACGGTAGACTCTGCACAGCACCGGGGCCACCGGTGGACTCTGCACAGCACCGCGGCCAACGGCAGCAGCGCGCACACTCGGCTCCTCCCCTCGCCCCCGCGCCCAGCGTCGCCAGCGCTCCTCGTGTGACGTCACGCCGCCCTCGTGAGACGTCAGGGCGGGGCCGGGCCGGGCCGGGCGGGGAGGGCGCCTGGCCGCTGGACTGGGCGCGCCGTAGCCTCGGGGACCTGCCCCCGGAGCCGCCGCGGCCCCCTGCCCCTCATGCCCCGCCCCGCGCGCAACGTCGCTCTGCAGCCCGGGGGGTCGCGGGGTCACCTCCTCGTGCCCGGGTCCCCGCGGGGTGGGCGGGGGGCGCGGTGAGGGCGGCCGGAGGGGGCTGGGGGGCCGGGGTGCGCGGGGATCGCAGGGGTCACGGGGGTCGGGAGGGCTGCAGGGGCCTCGAAGGCCTGGGGGGTCACGGGTGTTGCGGGGGTCCAGGGTGCAGCGGGGACCCCGGAGGTTGCGGGGGGCCCTGGAGTCGCAAGGACCGCAGGTGTCACTGAGGTCGCCGGGGTCGCGGGGGTCATGGGAGCCGCAGGGTGCAGCAGGGGCCGCAGGGGTCACAGGGTTCGTGGAGGTCACAGGAGCCGAGGGGCCGCAGGCTGCAGCAGGGGGCCGTGGGGGTTGCAGGGACCCAGGGTGCAGCAGGGGTCACGGGTGCTGCGGGGGCCACAGGGTGCAGCAGGCTCCGCAGGGGTCACGGGGGTCACAGGGCCGCAGGGTGCAGCGGGGGGGGGCTGTGGGGGTTGCAGGGACCCAGGGTGCAGGAGGGGTGCACGCGGTGGCAGGGCCCACCCTGCAGCGGGCCGGGTCACGGCACTGCGGCCTCGGTGCTGCTCACCCGGGGGCTCCCGCGCCCCCACCTCGTCTACACCGCCTCGCCCGTGTGCGCAGCAGAGAGGGGGACGGGACGAGGGGGGGCAGGACCCGGGTCAAAGTCATGAGCGTCTTGTCGAGGCCTTTCTGCGCCCCATGAGGTCGGCTGCGTGCAGTGGGACAGACAGTAGGACGGACACACAGACAACGTACAGGATGGGCCGCCGCTCAGACGCTGCCTGAAAATCTGACCGGTCCTGCGGGTCGGGATGGGAGCCTCCTGCGAACCATGATGATCTTTGATGTTTGCACAAAAACCAATCGATCGAAATAAAGAAAGGGGGTAAAAGGAAAAAGACATGAGAGCTTTGGGTGATAGTTGGCACTTTCCCTCTGAAAAGTATGACAAATCCGGGATTAAAAAATAATGATTATATATATATATATATATATATATATATATATATACATACATATATATGTATGTATATATATATATATACATACATATATATGTATGTATATATATAGTAGTGTAGTGCCAAGCGGGGTCTGCAGTGACACCGTGCAGGCCTGGCTGGCAGTTCCCTTTCCGTCCTGTGTCCTGCCCTCCCCGAGCCCTTGAGAGATCTGGCCTCAGCGCGTGTGACCAGTAACAACCTCTTGGCAGTTATCTGGGCGCAAACATCCAGAACGCCAGTACAGCATTTTTGAAGAAAAGTAAATCAAGACATTATTAAAGCAAATATTTCTTTCAAAGAATTAGGGAGAAAGAAAAAAGAAAAGAAACGAAAAAGATGCCAAGGAGAAACTGGCCCTGCCCGCCCCACAATCCCACACGCAGGACAGTGGACCAGGGCTTGCGTGTCAGCAGGATGGTGGGTGCATGGACATGGATCCTGAGCCATCCACGTCCCCGGGCTCTGTGACCTGGCTCTCGGGCGATGGAGACAAGGCGGTCCGTGCAGATGAGCTGAGCAAGGTCATGTGGTGTGCGATCAAGATAGGATCCCAAATGTCTTCCGAATGGTTTAGGGTCCCGAGAAACGAAGGTCCAATGACGTGATGGGCATTTGGAAGCACACGGTTAAATGTATCTCCCTGAAGACAGGTTTATGTGTCGGTGTTGGCCGGTGTGACCCCGACGGTCATCTTATTGCGAAAGGAGACCGGGGTCATTAAGGTGGAGGAGTAGCACTACTGTAGGAGATCTGTAAGCCGGGGTGAGATGTGTTAGCTACCCGAGTGGCGTCTGACTTCAAATAGCAGTGTCATGCAGGATTTAAACTGTGTCTAATGGAGCCTGGAGTGACTCTACTTTTAATTCTCTTCGAGGAGGGGTAACCAGCACGTGAATCCATACAACTTAGCCGACTGCTGCAGCTTGGTTTACAAAATAGATGGGATGGGAGATCGGGAGCGCCTTAGAGGACAAGGAGAGTTGTAGGGTGATGTGACTGGAGACAGCCTCAGAGCATTGCCTGCCAAGCCCGCTATGTTGTTTAAGCTTCGGGATTTTTCATATCCTTTCATGAAAAAATGCACAGACATCAGTTGAATCCAACCAGAAAACAGACACAGACAAACAGTACCATGCAGGATAATCAAAAGTGCTATTTCGAGTTCAAGGAAGAATTTTTTTTTTAACAAAGAATTCGATATTGAGACCATTTGTAACTTAAAAAAAAAAATAAAGCTCACTAGAGCTGTCATTTCCAAAAAGATTAAATGAGCTATCGCAAATTATAGTTGCAATACTTCAAAATGTATTCTTTCCCAAATTATACTTTGCATTGATGTGATTTTGGCATATGGAATACTAGAAATCTTTAAAGAATTAGGCAAAGCAAGTTAAGTAAGATATAAATTTGGCTAATATTTTTACATTTCAGAATATGCTTCTGAAAAACAAATGGGCTGTTTTTTCTTTCCATTTTTTATTATTTACTAAGCTAATCAGCTAACGTAATATATTTGGCTAATATATTTACATTATGCTTCTGAAAAACAAATGGGCTGTTTTTTCTTTTCATTTTTTTATTATTTACTAAGCTAGCAAGCATGATTAACTCCAAGAAGACAGCGTTATTTTTTTTTCTTAGCATATTTAGTCTTCCAGCTTTATACGGCTAAATGGATGATTCTTAAATAATGGCATTGGATGCCATTATCTAGGTGATGCGGGATGAATGCCTAATTTTAGTTCCTTGGATTAAAAAAAATAGGAAAGGAAAATAAAAGAAAACAAATGAAATAGAAGTTGCCTTATACTTTCAGCATGTAACGGTCTGAACTTGGTTACAGGAGGTTTGCAGTCAGCTCTGCTGCCGGGAACCGAGAGCCATTTGATCTCGATTCACTTTGTCGTTGTATTATGTCGCATCCTAGTCATGGATGCGTGACAGTCGTGGAACAGAACAGGAGATCTGCCTCCCAAGCTTTCACCCAGCGTTTTTCCTCCAGGCCCCTCTGGAAGGGTCGTGCACCTGCTACTTACTAGAAAAGGTCAGGGGCGGGTGGACGGGGCGGGTAGCACGCAGTACAGCCTGACGTGACCGGTCGTACAAGCAGGACAACAATGGACAAGCAGGCAGGAGGTCAACGTTCACACCGGCCCACTGGAAAACGTGCCGCAGAGCAAGGTGAGACCCTTGGCTGTTGGGCAGTCAACGCGGGGCAAGGACAGACAACCTGATGGACTTTGTCGCCCCGTGACCCAGGGCTCACCCCGCTGCTCAGCCCTCAGGGGCGTGATGGCCACGCAGGAAGGAGAGTGGGCCTCTGCTGCTTCCCCGTGCTCCTCCCAACGACCCCCTTTCCTGACTCTGTTTCCCAGAGCAGGACACACTGGGTGAGCTAGTGATCCCGTGATCTCTTAAGGGCCCAGGAGCAGCCTGGGCGAGGACTGCAGCACCTGCTCCCTGCAGGGTGGAGCTGCCCCGCGTGGGTACAACCCTCCCTGCTCTCACCTGTGAGCTCTCCGCACACTGCATGTCTTCTCTGAGCTTTCGCTGGTGGGAATTTGTGCCACCCGTTAACTATGGTACGTGCCCAGGACACAATTTCTGCTAGCGAGAGAATTATCTGCCCATGTGCTTTGTTAGCATGCGGAGAGACAGAACATGGGAGGTGAGAGCTATTTCATCCTACTCCAGTGGATGATGGGAAACTTAATAAGAGGATGTCTTAAATTATTAATAAAGAATTGCAGATAATTTATCCTTACATAGGGACCTCCATGCGCCTGGAGAGCTAGTTGTTACGGCTCTTCCGTAAAGTGATTGGCAATATGACTTGGGGACTTATAGGAAGAATAGTTCATCCTAGTTGGCCATGTAATCTAAAAATGCAAACTACACTATAAACATTGATTTGGTTTGATTAAAAGCAAAATGGTGAATATGCATGAACCAAAGAGGTTGTGAAGCTTATAAATCATTCATCCCTATAAAAATTTACACAACCTCCAAGTTCCCTCCAGGACCTCCAGAAAGGTAAAGATTTGCTTGGCAGGTTTCTATTAATTACACTAGGTATATGTAAATCTTGGTTGCCGTTCTAAATGTTCAGTTATTTTCCTGAAATACAGGTTTCTACAGAAAAATTATCCATTCTGTTTACAAGTTCTTTTACTTTTAGAAACTATAATTTCAGTGTTCATTTGAAAAGACTCCCTTCTAATTTAATAACAAGTATTTAATTAGTAAAATTATGAGTTATTCTTTTAAATATATATATAGTTTTTATTTTGCAGGTTGATTTGTGCTAGAAAATTTGATAAGGTTTTTGCTTAAGCAGACTTTTATTGAGTGGAATGGTTAAAAATATAATTCATGAGAATTAACAATGTTGAACCGAGTTGGAATTGGCATCTAAATACATAGTGTGCATTTTATATGGTTCTTAAGAGCATGTGCTTGTTTGGGGTGATATTGAAACTGCTTCTCCGTGTACTATCAATGGGTATGTTTTTGTGTATGAAAGATGATTTTGTAAAAACTTCTGCATAAATAAAAACATAGGTCCTAAATGCTGGGAGTTCACTCTCATAGGGAATCCATAAATTTTCTTAATGTAGGACCAACTATACTCATACATGTTGGTAGAAAAAGAATTCAGTGGGAATCTGGCAATTTCTTTTCATCTTTCTTTAGAACTCTAAAAATCAAATCAGTAGAGATGCCAACTTGAAAGATAAAAAAGGGATCCTATAGGAAATAAATGTCTGAATAAGAATAAGAGGAGAGATCTATAATCTCCATAGAAAAGATCAAAAGAAGAAATGAATGGATTCCTGATAAATATAACAAGACAACACACTAAAAAAATTAAGTGAGGTTAACCCAAAATGCTATGAGGCCTCGGGGTGGTGGTGGTGGGGGGAAGCACAAGGTATAAAAAAAACTAAGCAAAAATTAACAAGGAAGTTGATTATGGTGAGAAATGACAAAGAATAAAAGCCCATGGATGAATTTTCAAGGATACGCTTATTGATAAAGAGAATTTTACATTTGTAAAATAACATTTCATGTATAACTTTTCCATACAAACTAAATATCTCATTAATTGCTTTGCTCATGAAACGTTGCCATTTTACAGAAAAATTCTCTATGATATAAAATTCTATAAATATACAAAATCTCTATAATTCACAGTGCTCTATAATTTGCGAAGTACTTTTTTCTTATATCCTTTGACAGTTTAGAATTCATAGTATCGTCTAACAGTGGAAGGAACAAATTTTAGCTAAGTTCTTAAACATGCAACAGTTAGTATAAATACTGCATGTGATACGTTTTAAGGTGAAGCTCAAAAATATATGTCAATGTAACCACATACTACACAGAAATACATATATACATATGCATATATATACATATAGTGAGTAAAGATAATGTAGTTAAAAATATGTTCTGTACAAGAAATCATTAGTCACATGCTACGATCATTATTTAATGTATGTATATATATCTCGCTCAAGTACTATGATAGGACATGAACGCTTCGTAAAACATTTTAAAAATTGTTCTAGCTCTTAATATTTAAATGCATTAAAAATACATAAAATTAGCAAACAAATCGATTAAGCCTATTCAGATCACTGAAATACATTTTGGTGCAAATAATAGATGCAGAGGAATGGAAGTGATCGAAGCGAAGCGGGGCATTTAAAACATTACGTACTGAGGAAATAAAAGGCGAGTCTCTCTCCTCTTTAGAGACTCAGGGGTGTGAGACAGGACAGACAACACAAAATGTTCAGGAGCAGTGAGAGAGAAGCACAGAATGGGCAATGGGATGTTTCAAAGAGAGAAGACATCACAAAATAAATACTTAAGGCTTAAAATGTTAAAGCGTTCAATAGAGAGAACCCACAATGAATAGCAGAGAAGCACAGAGTGTTCCTAAAAGGCAGTTGTGCCGGTGTGAAAGCTTTGGGGTGGCTTTGCATGAACACTCAGTCCCTTGCATCCCCAGGCCCTAGAGCTCTGGTCGGTCAATGAGCAGAGAAAGCACCAGGGCCAGAAGCCACTGGGATCGTCAGAGTGGGAAGCGACAACGAGGCATCAGCCCTGGGACAAGGGTGCCTGATAGACGTCACAGGACCGTTTCTTAAGGGGGGGACAAAAAGGTCCCATTGTCCCGGGGCCTCGTAAAGTTCACGCAAAACAGAGACAAAAAAGCAGCACCTGGGGCACAGGCATGACCGTGGCGTAATCTAGAAGCCTGGGAGCTCGGGGCGGGTTGGAGCGTCGATGGGCTTCCGAACCAGGATGCCAGCCCACAGAATGTATTCACTCAACAAGTATTTACTGAGTGTCTTCTGTGTGTCAGGCACAGGTTAGTGGGGGTCGGAGGTAGTAATGGACTTAACACTATTACTCTTGTCTCAAAAAGGAATCCTGTAGCAGGTTTTCTGGGTCCGTGAGCAGTGACGGGGTGTGCGACTCTGCAAGGCCCACGATTCAGGGCCTCTCCGGCTTCCCAACTCAGGTAAGTCACAGCCAAAACCGCCCACATGCTGGACGGGGGACTTACTCATAGTGTGGCTAACGCCTTTCTTTGGGGGGGGGGATAAAAAAAAAAGAAAAAAGCTTCTCGTTCTATCAATTACTTATCAAATATATGCATAGAGTGAGTGCATAGAGTCAATTAGTGATATGCATAGGGTCAATTAGTGAGTTTCGTTACCTGTAGTTAAAAAATATGACTTTTGAAGACTGTTAATTATGTTAATTAGGTGAATGACCTAATTTCTGAACACCCGTTACAGTTCTTCCCATAGACAAATGGAAGCCAAACATATAAAGGAAAAAAGGAAGAGTGAAATGCCTTTCATATGGAGCGACCAAGCTACTACCGGAGAGGCGGTTATGACACGTGCTTTAATGCCAATAATGAGAGAAGAGGCGACGAGGAATGCAAGGGAGCGCGTGCAGCCTTTCCTAGGAAGCGACCACAGAGCATTTGCATCACTCGGTATATTCGCAACACTTAATCTCTAAGTCACCTGTTAGGATCTGATGAAACACACGCCTACCTTTCCTGATCCCTCCGTCAGAAGCACACGTGTAATCACCTGTCGTCAGTAGAAAACATGTTTCCCCTCTTCCGTTTTTGTCTCTGGTACTAGAGCGTCTGATGGGGAGCCTTTCTGGGGGTGATAATGGCGGCTCACTTCCTGTACTGTCGTCACCTGATAACACTGGTCACAGCACCATGCCCATTGACAGACAGTGATGGATGAGGAAATGAGACAGTACAGAGAGTTTACACTGAAGGTCCAGAGTACGCGCACTCCAGATACAAGAACACAGTCATCACATCACGATAAGAGAAAGGGTTTTCATCACTCGTTACAAAAATTTACACGGAGCAAAATGGAAAACGTATTGAAAAGGAGGGAAGTGTTCTTTGGGGAATGTGAATTCCATGTTTAGATTCCACTAGAAAATGAACTTCTGCAGAATTATTCACATGGGGGTGTGATAATGAAGTAACAGACGCATTGATATCTTACGGTTTTTTTGATGTGCCATCTAGTTATTGTGAATTAGAATCTTTAAAAGTGGAGCCTAGGGCAGCTCGGGTGGCCCAGCGGTTTAGCACCGCCTTCAGCCTAGGGCGTGATCCTGGAGACCCGGGATCGAGTCCCGCGTCGGGCTCCCTGCATGGGGCCTGCTTCTCCCTCTGCTTGTGTCTCTGCCTCTCTCTCTGTCTCTTATGAATAAATAAATAAAATCTTAAAAAAAAAGTGGAGCCTATTTAAGGGAAATCTCCCAGGCACCTGTTGGTCTTTGGAGCTGACACATGCTTTTAATATTTGCTAGAATTTTAATAAAAAATAATCCCAAAGCTCACTTTTGTGTCCAGGTTCTCCATTTGAAGCGGAAAAAAAAAAAAGTGTTTCTGAGCATCACGATGGAATAAGATCAACTTCTCCAAATGCCCTTGAAACAACTGCTTGCCCGTATGTGCTTGCCAAAGATGCCTGCGTCCTCTTGGCCTAGGTGCTCGCTTATTGTGTTTACCAGGCTGAGAGCGTGCTCTTGGTCCGTGCCCTTCACAAGGACTCGGCACAAGCACCCCGAGAACAGTCTGCTGAGACCAGCAGCACCGGCTACGCCCCACCTTCTGGGAAGTCCTGCTTGGCCTGAGGGTTTTCAGATACATTCAGATACACTGCAAATTCAGAATTTGCAGAACAATACACTAAGTGAGCATTAGGATCTTTATGAAGGACATCTGTACGAAGCATTTTAGTTCTGGCCGTATGTTTCCCCCATTCACCTTCCTTAAACCTCTGAAAGCTCATGAAGGAACATATGTAGAGGTTACCTGCCTTTTTTGGTTTTTTTTTTGTTTGTTTTTTATTGTTGTTGTTTGTTTTTTTTTTGTTTTGTTTTGTTTTGGTTTTTGGTTTTTGGTTTTTTTGTTTGTTTTTTTGTTTTGTTTTGTTTTTTGTTTGTTTTTTTTTTTTGTTTTGGTTTTGGGTTTTTTTTTTTTTTTTTGCTTGCCTTGTGTAATTGGTGGTTATTTCTAAATTATGCCAAAAGTATTCATAGGGGATTATCGTAAATCATCGTTCTACAAGAGAAAGATTAAATATATCTAAGTCATGGTTATATAAATAGATCTTCAGTTTTCAGAGTGGGCTGAACGGTGATCAAATTGTTTAATATACAGAATTATTTCATCAGTACCGGACACAAGAGCGAGCACATTCCTGACTATCCTCTTGGCGAAATGAAAGTTTATAGGCAATGTCCTCTGAATTATCTACGGCAATGGAGAGGAGTAGGGATTTAGCATAAATCGCCCAAAACTCAGTTTGGGAGGGAAACAGAGAGCAATGCCTCGTGCATTCAGAGGGAAATCCGCAGGGAATTTCAGCTTTGCCACTGACTAGACAAAGCAGATCATCTACCTTCAGAATAAGGGTGAATTTATTATATCACGAAGCATCTTACCCAATCTAAAGGGATTATACTGAATCTCCCATCTAGGTTAACAATGGCGAAAATGTAATCAACCCTCTAGAATATTCCTAGGGAGGGCTTTCGTTGTCAGAAAGGCTGTCTTGCATACCCCACCTTTTTGGTGCTCAGGCTATTGAAATACAAGCACCCGTTGTTGTTGAGTAACTGCTTCCTGTGAATTCGGGTGAGATGCATGGCTCCCCGTGGCAGGGATAAAACTGAGACGAACACACCAAGCCAAACGACGAGGAAATCAACATTTTGAGAACGAAAGATGGAAAATGGCCAGTTATCGTACCATCACATCGTGCAGGGGAACAAAGAAACATCGGCACAAAAGCAACAAACAGGCAAAAGAAAATATTGGCACCATCAGCAAAGGGCATTCCCACTAAAGCAGGAAAACTCTATAGACGGGCTGTGCAGGCCTCTACTTGGAATCCACCCAGAGAAGCTACGATCCAGCTGTCTCCACGCCTGACACGAGCACATGGATCGTGAAGAGATAGAACCGAAAACTCAGAAATGTTTGCAGACAATGAGAATGGTCGCCTCCTCCCTGAGGGACGTACTGGTCTATGAGGTGTTCGGTGGCATGCACCTGAAGTTGTGCCTTACCTGATCTGTTATGTTCCAGAAGCCGGTTGTCCTTGCCCAGACAGGGGTCACCCTGTGTGCTGTTGCAGGCCATGTTTAATTCTGTCTTGCAAAAGGTAGGCGAGCTTGCCTGGGGGGCGGGAGGGATGTGCTTCTTTCTCTTCCTTGGAAGTTTCTGCTTCGCCATAGCCAAGGAGTAGTACATTCCAAAGTTGTTGACGATGACCGGCACAGGCATGGCTATCGTCAGCACCCCAGCCAGGGCACACAGGGCTCCCACCAGCATCCCCGACCACGTTTGGGGGTACATATCCCCGTAGCCCAAGGTGGTCATGGTCACCACAGCCCACCAGAAGCCAATTGGAATGTTTTTAAATTGCGTGTGCTCGCTAGCTGAAGGGTCGTTAGGTTGAGCTCCTACTCTCTCGGCATAGTAGATCATGGTAGCAAATATCAAAACTCCTAGAGCCAGGAAGATTATCAGCAGCAAAAACTCATTAGTACTGGCTCGAAGAGTGTGTCCAAGCACCCTCAGACCTACAAAATGGCGGGTGAGCTTGAAGATTCTCAGGATCCTCACGAACCTTACCACCCTGAGGAAGCCAAGTACGTCTTTAGCAGCTTTGGATGACAGCCCACTGAGTCCCACCTCTAAGTAGAAGGGTAGGATGGCCACAAAGTCAATGATATTCAAGAGATTTTTGATGAATTCAAGTTTATTAGGGGAAAAAATGATACGGACTAAAAATTCAAAAGTAAACCACACCACACACACTCCTTCTACATACGTCAAGGCAGGATCCGTTTCGATTTCGTATTGCAGAACAACACTCGTGCCATTGATGACTGGTTCTGTCTTGTTTTTAACAATATTGAAAGCTTCGTGTGTCTCCAGGCAAAATGTTGTGATTGAAACCAGGATGAAGAATAAAGAAGCAAAAGCAATAAACTGTAGGGGGGAAAAAAAGAAATAAAAAAAAAAGAAACAGAGAGAGTGATCTGAACTATCATATACTTTGATCCAAATCTAAGAGCATCGATCCCTGCAGGTGGAAAAGAATAAAAGCACATTTGGAGATTTTGCTTGGGATGTCACTCAAGTGAAAGAAGAGATGCGTAGGTATCGTTAATTAGAGTTGCACACACAGTGCGTTTCGAGTTCTGTTTTCTGGTTATATAGGTAAAAACTTTTGCTTTACGTTGGAAAATAATTTCTTGACTCTTTTGTATAAGAAAATACACCTGTTAAAAGAGCATAAAAATCAATCCAAAGCAACGTTAAAGGGCAACAGACTGAAAAAAAAACATAAAGTAAATAAATGTACAGTAGCTTTAGATAATTGTTTCCGATCCTAGAAATCCTCACGTATCAGATCAAGTTTTACGTCTTATAAACATTAAGGTGCTGTCCACACTGGTGGGAATATGGAAGCCGCTTGAATGTAACTGTAGGTTTTTAACCAAAAATAAAATGTTGATGTTGTCGTTAGGTAGGGAGAGGAAAAAAACCATTGTGGGGGTGGGGGGCTCTGTTACAGTTAAATCATATCAACTTAAGGTGGAGACTTAGCCAAAAGAACAGACCTAGAGAAGACTAGGCGACAAGACTGAAGAGAGAGAAACAGAGTCGGGAACAAAATAAAAGACAATTTTCCTTCTCACCTGAAAAAGAACTCCCAAGTGTTAGAGGAACGGGCCATAAAGTTGCAGGGTTTATTTTATTCAGCTCTTTCTATCCTGTTTCTTTAGCCAGTCCTAGGGGGACACACACACCCACTAATCCAGAATGGTAATAGCCGGAGCTCTCCCGCACATACTTCTTACCCCAGGCCGGCCCCTCATTAAGGCAAATCACACAATCAACTCATATCAGGCCTCGGAACCACCTACTGCCGCTGTCATCCTTCACAGTTCTGCGGTGTCAGCACGGAGGTCAGGCTACATTTCCAAGTCATAAGATGCAAAGCGATACCTAAGGCAACCAACCTGACAAGCGTTGCCCCCAGTTGTGTTAACCACCAAACTCTCACATGATGAACACAGATATGTCGGAGAAAAATGTACTCCTCTTGGGAATCACAGATTTCCCAATAGTCAAGATCTGAAAACGTAAAACCCGGGGCTGAGTGAACGGTGCTGGTGCGGACAGTAGGCAGTAGTTGCTCCGTAATGCTCTCGGACTTAGCATGAGTGATGAGCACCAAGACTGCCCCTCAAACATCCAAATTCACTCATTCTTTAGGAGCAAGAGGTCATCAGTCAAGCACAGGGTAACCCTTTTTCAGAAATAATGGGGCGTATCCAAGTCCCGCACCTGTCCCCTAATTGCTATTCCTCACCCGCGCCACTGAAAAGATCTAAGTTTCAAGAAAAGATTGAGACAACGTCCTCCTTTTCCTGGTAGAGCTTCAACAGAAGAGACATATGAAAGGAGGAAGGAAGTCCTAGGACGGTGGCGCCCAGCCGCCAAGAGTCACCTCAAGCTCTGAAATTGTTTCTCTGCGGAGTAGAGGTTAGTACCTCGCTCCTGTAGGAGTGTAAGACACGCCGCTCTCATGGCTTTGACTTACGTCCCCAAGCACGCCTTCCAGGTTCCCTTGGCCTTGACATTATGGGTTCCCTCACATCTTTCCCAGACGTGATGCAAGAGGTTAACGTGTTTTCGCCCAGCTTTCTTTTTTGTGCAAATAAATATATAGCTCTTTGTCCACCTACGTTCATGCAGTGGACTGAGTGGGACCTCCCCACATTGCTCTTTCAGGATCTGTCCCGGCTTCCTGGCCTGCTCCCATACCACAAGGGCAGTTTCCCCCTGTACTTTGACGCTTGTCGGTACGAAATGCTGAGGCCTGCTGCGATTGGACATTTTCCTACTCTTCACTCATTCATTCAACAAGCATGAATTAGGTGCCTCTCAACGTCAGGCCCCAAGACGAGGGCTTTAAGGTAACAGTAGTTAGCAAAACGCAATGCTTGTGTTTGAGGAATTCACAATCTATTAGGGACACAGACATTAAATAATTAACCACAGAAAAATTATATAATTACAATTGTGATAAATGCAATGAGGGATAGAAAGGACCAAAGGCGGGCTTTATTTAGGGGTCTTGAGGGATCATAGAAACCTCTGCCAAAATGTCACCAGACTCAAATTGGAGGGATAAATGAAGGTTGACCTGATGGAAAGGGGTGGCTTGTATATAGCTCAGTGGGAGGTTTTAAAAAAATACGGACTTTTTCAATCTCACTTCACTTTCTTGAGCAATGGGTTTACTGGGACACCACAGGAGCAGCAGGTCTTCCAAATCTGCCTCTTTTGCATGAAAACCCAACATAACGCAGAGACCCCGGTTTTTTTCAAGGCTAACCTCTTTTTCTGAAGAGCTTTAAATAAACCAGAAATATTGCCTGGGTTTTAAAATAAGACTGTAAGGTGACTCTAGAGCAGTTTGTTTGCTGGTGGCGCTCCTCAGACCTTGTTGGCCTACTGGGAGAGCTTTAGAATTCACTTAGCTTATTGTATCAGCCCTGTTGTTGGGGATGCAGTAAAAATAAAAGATAAGTGTTTTTAATTTGAAGCACCATGTAAATACTAGAAATCATTATTACATATATTTTATTATACTGTAAAAATATATAATTAGTACCTCAATGAGAACTACTAGAGCCTGATGTTCATGCTCATTACATGAATTATCATTTTGTCAGAAAAAGTCAACAAAGTCAGAAGGTACCACCCTTGGTGGTTGGAATTTAAATAACATGAATTATCTTGTTAAATTACCCATTTTACCCACCCACATTCTTAGAAAAGGAATTTGGTCACATTCATTGGAACATACCTGGGGAGCTCACACAAATGTGAATTCCTCACCGTCCATGTCGGACATCGACACAGATTCTCTTGTTTGGGGAGAGGGAATTTGCATTTAACAAGTGTTCATGGTGATTGCTATGAAAACTAAAGTCTGAAAAACACGGTTTTGGCGTTTCTCAATTTGAGAATATAAGATTAATAATTCATTATTAAATGCGTTGGAGAAGTTTCTAAATTACAAGCATTTGTAGACTTTTTAAAAAATCTTCTAAACCTTAATAAGAATAGCTCACTAACTCCTGTATCATAGGATGTTTGTGCCTGTGTGTGTGTATTTGTGTGTGTGCTGTGACATAATTCTGGCTTCTACACGAATATTGGTGAGTAAACAAAGCAACTGAATAGCCTCTAACTACATGTAATTCTAAGACACAAAGCTTTGAAAACCAGATTTTGACTGTTTTTACAAGTCACTCGGAACTTGAATTTATCAATATTTTTGTTAGCATTATTTAAGGAAGCCCACCATGATTCTGTACTTGTATTATTCTTCACGGTGATTTGTATCATTCCGTATATCATTCGCTTTTAAGGACTTCATAAATCAGTCAGGATGTGATAATAGTATAATAGGAATCATAAAAAGAGTGTGAAAACAAACAGTCATTCTGGGAGAGACACATTAATCTCAGAAGTACAATATTATTTTGCTTTAAAAAAAACAAGCTAGATAAGCCATTTCTTATGTATGAAGACTGAAGACACTACAAGGTGTGGCTTAGGGCGAGAGGGCTAGAGGGCTCTACCAGAGGACAGAAGTACTCTTCACACACAAAAAAAATCAAATAAATAAATAAATAAATAAATAAATAAATAAATAAATAAAAATTTAAAAATAAATAAAAATAATTAATTAATCAAAAATAAATTAAATAAATAAATAAAAATAAATCAAATAAATAAAATAGATAGATAGATAGATAAATAAATAAATAAAAATAAATGAAAGAAAGAAAGAAAGGAAGGAAGGAAGGAAGAAGTACTTCACAATAACGTGGCGGGAAATTGGAAGTTGTCCTCTATCAGCTTAAAAGCGGGAAGTTGGAAGAAAGTTGAAACCTGGACAGAAATGAGGAAGGTCTCTAAGGAGGATGAAAAGCCCATAGTGGGAGGTGGTAAGCAGGGGCGAGGCCCCTGTCTGGGCGCAGCAGCAGAACTTTGGGACGCAGACGGACTGTATCAAATTTAAGACGATGCTTGCTGTGTTACACCTTCAGCCAAGGGTGGTTGTACACTGACGGTGCTCTGAGTGGTGAAGGTATTGGGCCAAAGGAGGAAAAAAAGAGGGGAGCACCCAACCATGAAGACAACATACACAGTGAGGATCAAAGGCATTGGAGAGTAAAAAATAAGAGTAAAAGGTAATCAAGAGAAAAGTAGCCCTTGTGAAAGTATTTGGAGACATTGGGAGAGACAGATTGGCCCTTGTAATGAAGAACGGGAGCCTAGTTTATTAGGGACTTAGTCCAAGTATCAGACGAAAAGGTGACCCCAGAAGCCTTGAAGGCCTACAGTCATCCAGACCTTGGACTCCAGTATCAAGGAGTTTATATATGTCACTTGAACCTAATTCTCAGAGATTTGGATACAGAAAATGTCTTCTTTTTTTTTCTGACTCACTAAGTTAAGCTGAAATGGGTAAATATGAGGTTAGATTAAATAATATTAAGAAAAGGAAATTTATGGGATGGCTGGATGGCTCAGTGGTTGAGCATCTGCCTTCAGCTCAGGTCATGACCCCGGGGTCCCAGGAACAAGTCCCACATCAGCCTCCCTGTAGGGAGCCTGCTTATCCCTCTGCCTGTGTCTCTGCCTCTTTCTCTGTATCTCTCATGAATACATAAACAAAATCTTTAAAAAAAAAAAAAGAAAGAAAAGGAAATTTAAAAGGAAAGAAAGGGGGAGAAAAGAAGGTTTTATTTGTTTTTCTCCTTCACTGAACCGGGAACTCTTTAAGGACTGGAATTATGTCATATTCATTTATGTACCAACCAACTGTACAATATTTTTGCAAACTGTTTAAGGACTGGTACAATATTCTTCTACCAACTGCTTCTGGCACAGTGGATGGA